AACAAACAAACAAACAAACAAACAAAAGAAAGAAGAAAGGGAAATAATAGGTTTAGATTTCTACACATCAACGGAATGACTAAAACTTATTAGTTTAGTTTTGTCTATACTTTATTGTGGTAAAATCAGTGGTCAATCATTTGCGCGTTAGTTTTTCAGTAAGTCCGATATCTTAAAATTGTCTCCTAACTAATTCAAACTGGTAATAGCTATGGTCTGAGTTGTTCACACATGAACTGAATAGTGGCTGCTAGAGGCGCCTTCACATGCTTTCAGTGCGACCCTGTTGCGCCACTTGTGTACTTGTGCTGTGGTGATTACCGACAGCTATTTTTTCCTCTCTGTGATGGGAACTTTTACTATCATGTTTCACTACAGATCAGATTAGTTCCACAACTTTTAAACAGCCTTGACGCTAATAGATAGATTAAAATGCTATAACAATGATAATAGGATAAATTAAGGCGTTTAGTGCCTTTTTTGTGCAGAATTTTAATTTTGGTATGGTTTAGTGTCTTAAACACACGTTTTTCTTCAATTAAACATACAGGTAACCCTTTCCAAGAATGCATTTGTTACGAGTGTTGCAACACAGGGACGATATGGTGGTAGTGAGTACGTCGAGACTTATTCTCTGCAATACCGCGATGTTGATGTGGATTTGCAAAGTCAGCTGAGGGACTACAAGGTAGTAACAGGAATCCTTGATACTTTTACTTTTCTTTCTTTATCAGTTTTCATAAAAAAATATGATATAAATGGCTTAAAGCAAAATTAAACTTATTTATTTGTCTCACGATTGTGGCAGTTGGGAGTTGCTATGTAATGTTTAATAAACGAGCAGGAGTGTTTTATCGTGTATAAAACACGAGGCGCAGCCGAGTGGTTTTAGACCCGATAAAACACGATCTGCGAGTTTGTTAAACGGCTTAGAAAACTCATGATGTATGTTCTCATTTGTACTGAATTCTTTACGAAATGAACCAAGTTTGATAGAGAAAATCCAAGTTAAAGTTTATGCAAATGAAGACGAATCTATATGAGATATAATATCACCTCCATGGTCATGATTTCTATTGTGTTTCCTTCATGAATTATTAATGAGATTTCTAAATCCTGGTATATTCTACAAGAAGCAACACAAACATTGTTAGAATGCAGTGAAGGAAACACGGTGCAACATTGCGCGCAATATTGCAGGTAAAGTTGCTTGAACACAAATAGGATCAATTTCGACTTTAGCAACTTTGCGTGCAATAAAGCACGTCATGTAACATGGCTCGCAACCTCCATTGCCTGCAACCTTGGCCGCAAGGTTTGACCATATGTATATTTTGCGCAAAGGCTGTATTCGCCTCTTGGTTGCTCAAGGACATTTATTTAACTAAAACTAAAGTTGTGATATTAACCCAATCACCGTACATCTTATGAAAAAAGCAAAATCGAGTTCAAGCGATTTGTCTAAATGATATGCTTGAAGACTAATAAATAATATGCTTGTAATTTGTACTGTTTTGTGCTTTTCTCTAATAGGAAAATGGGGAAAAACGAATCTTTGTTGGGAATGTTGACACCAATACAGTAAGAAGGAATCAGCTTGAAGTTCCTATCCACACAAATACCGTTCGTTTTGTGGTATTGACTTGGAACAGTGGCATTGCTATGCGAGTAAACGTTGAGGGCTACTTCTCAGGTAAAAATGTCAGGCAGTCAGGCAGTCAGGCAGTCAGGCAGTCAGGCAGTCAGGCAGTCAGGCA